CAGCAAGACGACATCTCCAGCTCTGGCCCCTCTGTGCTTCAGCATCAGCGCTGGCTTAGCACGTACAGCCAGTTTTAAAGGAGATCTGTGCACGGCCTCCCTACCTACTGTGGAAGGGATCCTGGACAGCTGACAACGTGCACAGCACTTTATGCCTGCTTATATTCTTGCAGTATTGGAAACTAGGCCAATAAAGATAAACACCTCCCCGAAGTGATGCTCAACTTCATTCTCTCTTATGCAAACATTTCAGCAAAGACCGCTTACCTACAAAGCGGACATCTTAACCCACGGTCAGGCACTGCACATACCCGGTATTTTTGAAAAGAAGGCATCAAACTATCTTTCAGTAGTCCAGAGGTGACAGACGTTATTTTATATTTGCAGTACTTTGAAAATTCTCAAAGACTTTGTCTCATTAATAGTGAAATGCAGACATCTCTGGAGGGAAACACAGCAGCTGCCTCAGCTGAGCCGCGAAGAGAAAACGAGGGGATTAAGGCCACATAGTTGCAGTGCCCCAAAGAGGACCTCTGCACCTCTGACCATGCCAGTGCTTCAGATGCATAATACGGAGCCTGTCAGGTCCTCAGAAGTGGGGACTGTGGCTCTACACGGCATCCAGAAAACCCCATCTCCCATAGAGTCCAAGCCACTCTTCCACACCAGGGTGTGAATGCTGACTCTGACGGATGAGGGCACCTGTGGAAGCCGGGTCACTGCGTTTCTCAAGATGCAGGTTTTCCCTGGAAGATGTCCACACATGGATTATAATCCCAGAAGGGATTTTTGTGGTCATTTATATGTCTGACATCCTGCCCAAAGGAGGTCACGGAGCACACCTGAATCATCTCCTTTACAAACTGCAGCACATTTTAGGGGGGGAAAATCACTCCATGAAGATACCCTGTAATGCATTTTTTTTGATCTCTTGCACTGCTAACAGGGCTCCACTTCCAGCCTAAATGTCCCTGGTTAAAAACTCAGAGCTGCTGGCTCTTTCTGCGCTGCAGGCTGCGCACAGCAGCTCCTTTAGGAAAGCCTGTTCTCCAAACAGGTACCTACAGACTGTGACCGAGTCACCACTTAGCTCTCTGAAGGGTCACTGACCACGCTAAGCGGGTGATACGTGACAAGAAGATGCTGGGTGTTGGGAAGCAGGCAGGGAACACTGTCCCTTGCACCAAGGAATGCTACTAGCACCTGGCCAGGTTTCACACACACAAGGTGAGACCACGACACAACGCAGTCCTGACCAACAGGCCCGAAACAGGCAAGTTTCTCACCACAGCATGTTTACAGACTGCAGATGTGTGGGAGGAAGGAGGCCGATCCTCTTCACAATACGCCCACTTTTTTGATGACAACCCTGACCACAGCACTGACAAAATCTCTGACTTAGCTGGAGGGGAGATGCAAGAAGCTGAAGACGAAATTAGCAGCGAGTGGGATAGTCCCTGAGTGGTCCCCCCGCAACTGGCAGGGAGGAGGAGGAGGAGGAGAGTCACACAGGAGCGGTTGCTTCTGAGCTACTCAGCCATCAGGTGTTGGGCGTGAGGATGCTCTGCTTGGGCTGGCAAGGTAAGCAACAGGATCCTCCTACCTGTTACCCGCGTTCTCCTGTCTCTTTGCAGATCTACTGGCTTGCAGATTGCCCTTCATTGGGATTTTTTTCCAGAAGGACCTGGGAACCTCTCACACTAAGGCCCTCTGGTCCCTGGGGAAGCCCAGGATCGTCCTCCTGCTGCCTCCAGCCGCAGCAGGGCAAATTATCAGTCTGCGCATGGCTCTGGGGTCCTCTGTCCCCACTTGGGTCAGTACAGGGCCGCGGTGCAGCCCTCAGACGCTCCTGTGGCAGCCCTGGCTGGCGCTCCTCTGCCGGCCTCCTGCCTGCCGAGGGGACAGCGCTGCGCTCTGAGCAGGGGCCCATTCCCATCGGGTGGCAGCTCACGTCAGCCTCGCGTGGCCTGGCTCTCTCGGGTCCTTCTGCAGTTGGGAGAGAGGGAGAGGAGCCTCCAGAGCATCAGTTAGGGCAGCAGATCTAGCCCGGAGGAGCGCATGTCCTCTGAGAGAGAAGGCAGACAAGTTTTGCTAGACTAAAGAAGTTTTGCCAACCTTTTCCAATACCTTGTCTTTTCCCCTGCTGCCTCAACAACACTGTGATCCTTCCAGAGAGGACTGGCTTGGCCCGATAGCAGCATTCCTCATATGGCGCAAATACTCCTGATGTTGGAGCACTCAGTGCTGGCACCTGAGCTGTTCCTGCACTGTAGGGACACTGCAAGGAGCAGTGCAAGTTCTGCCTCCCCTCTGCCTAACTTCAGAGCCTGTCTGCAATGGCAAGAAATCTGCAGCAATGGCAAGAAATCTGCAAGCAAGAGACACAACATCCCTGGGACTCTTCTAGCTTGTGCAGATTCTTGTCAAGAAACAACACAGAGTTGGTTTAAAGTCACCTCTGTCTTCCACTTCGGAGAGAAGAAAAGTATGTCTACCTCCTCCAGGAACAGTAAATGTCTTATATTGGTCTGAGAATTAACAGTAGCTTATAGAACCTTCCCCACTTGAAAGGATGTGGACACCACATTCTTGAGAGTAATGTTAATAAAATATAAAGCATGGAGAGGATCTGGGTGTTTGCCCCCAAAAGGCCATCACAAAGGACCTTCAGTTGAGGAATGACCTCTACATTATATTCCCTAGTGCTCTGTGTAGCCCTTCCTTAAATGCGCAGGGGACAGGCCTTCTGTCACTTCTTCAGATGGCTCTTAGGAAGCTTTTCCTTCACGTTCAGCTTAAATGTGCCATTTCTTGGAATCATCCCCTTGTCTTTCATACTCTAGCAAGCAAAGTAAGTGTAAATTAAATGGAAGACATATGAAATCTTTATAAAGTCTATGTTTCCCCTAGCGTGAAAGTTCCTTCTCTTTGGAGCAGAATACATCTTTATTCTGTGCCATATTTTTCCCCATCAGAAAATGAAGAGGAATATAAATTTTCTTCATGACTTGAATTTAGCTTCATCAGCAGCCCCCTGCTGATGTAATTCACCCCGACAAGTTTTTTCTTTTCCTTCTCTTTTCTTTTCATATTTTTTTTTCTGGTGAATGACTGCCCCTCTTTCCATCCTCCCATCAGTTCAGGCATGGTAAACAAGAGAGGAATTAAGACAGGCAGAGCTTATTACCTAAGAAGTTGCAACTTCAGATTGGGCAGGAATAAAATTTAAAATATAAAAAGCAAATGTTATCAAGCCCTTTCCTCCCCAGAGACTGCCACAAAAATATTCCTTGTTTGTCACGGAGAATGAACCATTTTTCTCTTTCATTTCTGCTTTCTGTCACATATTCCATATTGGCTGCCCCTTCTGTCTTTCAGCTTGGGACCTAGGCTGCTAATGCAGAATCACAGATAACAACAAAATGCCTGTATTTTTTTTTTCTTCTAGTCTGCCAGGTAATTGCAACCCTAAAAGCTTTTGCATATTTACCGCAGAAACACGTCCCTCCTGGAGGATGGGACTGTCATCAGGTAGAATATTTCATTTAATAAGCCTCTTCCGAGGTACAAACTAGGGTGTTTTTTTTTTTCCCTCTGGCCTCCTTCAGAGCTAAGGGCAAACAGATAAAAATCAGCTGCTGCAGTGCTACACTCTCAGAGTTCCTGTTCCTGTGCAAATTAACTCTTCTCCTGCCCAGAGCTCTGGTGGGCTTTGCCACCGCTGTCTCTGTGCAGCAGGAAAAGGGGCTGATATCAGCTCAGGCTGTTTTTCATCTCCCTAAGACAGCTTCTTTTCTATTTACAAACAGAGCAACTAGCCTGCTTTTCTGTAACTCAGCTGACGAGCTGTGTGCGCTGCCAAGACAGATTTTCATTAAATCAGACATCAAGAAGGATCACATTTTCTCTCTTTGCTCCCATTTCACAGAATTACAACAACAAAAACATGGCCTGAAAGTTTCTAAATTCAGCTCTCATCTAAAGACAAATTCCCCCCCCTTTTTTAAAAATTTCTTCTCCCACCCCTGAGCTAGCAGCAGGATTGCTTTTCCCCATCCTCAGGATATGGAGCCTCGCTGACTGGAGCCAGCAAGAGGGACTTAGGGGAACCTCTACAGAGAGTTTGTAGCCCAGACCCGAGACACTGGCAGAGGATGACACCGCAGGGCTTACCAAAGCTTGGAACTCCTTACGAGACCCAAGTGGAACACGGCTGGTTGAAACACTTGGCTTTGGGTGGACCTACACAGAGGTCAGAACTTCACCCTAGCACATAATACTTAAAAATACTCCCAGTGGGAATCAAGAGTCCATGATAGGTCCTCACTCGCACCCCAAATTCCTGGCAATACTCATTCATCCCAAATGACCGCTGGCAATCCCAGCTCAGCCAGGCAGCCTGGCCACCTGGAGCAGAGCTGGCAAGAGCCAGGGGGAATCTTCCCATTGACTCTTACTAATTAGCTGCACAGCCTGTGTGAAAATTACTCTTCAACAAAGCATCTGCATCCATACAGTTGTTTTCCTGTGGCCCAACCTTGTTTTCGTAAAAATCCTAGTTTCACCTATTAAAGAAGAATGGAAGACGCAACTATCACATGGAATGACAGTTCAGATCACGGCTTTTCTGAGATCAAGACCCTGCTTCCATTGACTTGGAAGGGACATCTGGACTCTCCAGATCCAGCCCTTCTTCTGGAAACAGAGAGGAAAGGAAGTGAAGACAGAGGGACAGAGAGAAAAGTCTCTTCTGAATTATTCTGTCAATAGTGACAATGACAAATTTCCTTTTTTCTACAACAGTCAACATTTTACAGATATTTACAAGTATACAATGATTTTATATGCAAGCAAACCTCAAGAGGCTATGGTAACATTTTTTACTTTCAACAGAGGCCCTCTCATTTAGGACTAAGCTCTCATTAGTTTACAAAAATGAAGGAAAAATCCTATAGGTTAAAAACCTCTTCAAGTAATGTTACTTGAGCCCAGTTTCTTACCTGTAATATCTGGATTGAAGGTAGGTAGAACACACAGCTTTAGAGACGTGGCTAGCTGAACCAAAGTCTATGACCTTGACCCTATATGGCTGTCGAGATGGGTCTACCAACATGATGTTCTCTGGCTTGAGATCAGCATGAATCAGTCCTAGGCTTTTGAGCTTCATGAGGGCGGTTGCTACCTGCTGGAGAATTGGTCGAATGTACTTAAGGGGCAAGGGACTGAATTTGTTTTGTTTTAGGAAATCATAGAGGTTCTGCTCCAACATCTCAAAGACCAAGCACGTGTGATTCTTGTGCTGGAAGCACTCGTACGCGCGGACAAAGTTGTAGTCATCTGCGCTCTCCGTGCTGAGCCGAGCCAGGATGCTTACTTCGATCTGGCCTTGCCGGGCATAGGAAGGATGGTTCTTCAGGATCTTGATGGCCACAATTTCATTAGTGCCACGTTTCCAGCATTTGACGACTTGTCCAAAGGTTCCCCGGCCAAGAAACTCTAGCACTTCGTACGTGTTGGTCATGGAACAGAGCACCTCATGTTGCACCAGCTGGTAATCCCCTTCGCTGTTGGAGCCACTGTTTTTGGACGTGGCCGTGGAGGTGGTGGCAGTGGCTACGGTGGCCCCACTGGCATTGTTCTGAATCATTGGTGGGTGCTCTTCGATGATCTGCACGCTGCTCGTGTTCTCGATCTCCTCACTCTTCCGCTTAAGTCCACATTTTTGGTAGGTGTCCAGAAGGCTCACAGTGCTGCGACGCATCAGGTTGTGTGGCCCGCCCAGTGTTTGTCCAGACACTGCAACCACACCAGAGGTGCTGTTGGCGGATGTCACCACGATGTGCCCCGTGCTGGCTGGGAAGATGATGGTCTGCTCGTACGGGATGCTCGGGTTGGGGATCTGCAGGGAGTCGTTGACGGCGGCGGCGGCGGCGGCTTGGGAGGACTGCACGTTCTTGCTCTGGCTGTAGACTTTGCTGTGTGTGCCGTACCCAGTCATATCCCAGTTAGAGCTCGGCTCCACTTTCAGTTTCTTCACGCTACAGAAGGCACTTGACTGAAGGGTGTGAGGAGAGAAAACTTGCACATGCGAGGCCATACCTGCAACACAACATCAGAGCGAAACGACAGTGTCAGGATGTCTTCCCCAGCTTTTTTTTTATGTGCTCAGTGGCGGCAAGGGAAAGTGAGATACAGACTTCTAATACACACATGAGAGTCAAGTTCTTCCAGAAATGCGTATCCAACACAAATAACACACACACGCTGAAGTAAATCATTACTCCTGACCGACCTACCCTAACAACAGCCAGTATTTCTGCTCTCTCCCTTTCCCTCTTTCCATTTTTAATAATGTTAATGTAAACGTTATTTTTACCTTCTCTGCGTAAAGAGACTCCAATTCTCCTTGTCTCCAAGAGTATATCTAATTCTCAGAGAGATGTGTTTTAAAATACTGCAAAGCATCTGCCTTTGGAGGCCAAATCTCAAATCCTCATGCTCGTCCCATATTGAACAGTTTGGCGTGAGGGTGACAGAGCCCTGGAACAGGCTGCCCACAGAGGCTGTGGAGTCTCCCACTCTGGAGATCTTCCAAATCTGCCTGGATGCCACCGTGTGCCATGTGCTCTAGGTGTCCCTGCTGGAGCAGGGGGGTTGGACTAGGTGATCTCTAGAGGTCCCTTCCAACCCCATCCATTCTGGGATTCTGTGATTGTTTCTGACTTAACCCTCTGTTTATTCCCACAGGACCGGAGTGCAGCTCATAGTCTGCAAGGACAGGGATGGGAATGGGAGGTGATACAAGGGGACAAAACAGAGACATGCTGCCCAAAGGGAGGAGCTAGGACAGAAACAGCAGACGACGTTTCAGGTGGCCTGCCAAGGCTGTGGGGACAACGGTGCGCACCGTGCACGCGCGCTCAGGGGCAGGGAAGATGGTTGTTACACAACATGAGCTTTACCGCGTGCTCCCAGCGCTCTCAGATTTGGAAAACTGCGTTCATCTATTCTTATTTGCAGTGACAATACCGTAACTGGAAACAGATCCTCTGGAAATGACCAGGATTGCTGATGAGGCAAGATGTAAACCAGCATGTGGTGGAATCAGGTGCTAATATACCTCATTTTTTTTTAAGAAAAGACAAAGAAACTATTGCAAGTTCTTTCATCTCTAAGAGGGCTAATGATCTTCTACACCTTTATTATAAGAAAAAAGAAACCCACAACCTTACAACCAAAGCCAAAAACAGACTTACTGAAGGTTCTAGGTAATATCTCACTGAAACCAAAAGTGGTCTCATTTCGAAAAGCAGAGATGGTCAGAGAAAAGGGGCCACCTAAGCTTTATCATCCCAGGATAGGGGTGGCACTGCTGGCACCCAGCTATTTGGGAACCATGCAAATCTATGGGGGTATCTACGGTACAAGCTAGTGGCTGGCTGGAGTTAAAGGCATGGCCGCCTTCAACCCTTCTATCTGTTGTCATTGTTTCTTTTTAATAAACTGGAATGACTAGGAAGGAAAAAGACAATGTGCTGAGTTGGCATCGTTGCTGAATTATTAAGTACAAACATAACCTTGACTTGTTTTCAACTCAGGAAAGTTAAAAGCTGAATGAATGCTCCAGTGACAAAAATGCAACAAACTCGGCAATGCACATGGATGACTATTCTGTGTGGAGACGTGAGAGGACGTTTAATACTCAGCTCCCTTTCCTAAGAGAAGTCCATCCTCCATGAATCCTTGCGCTGCTCTCTTCTAAAGATCCTCTGACGATCGTATGAACATATGCATACATGCATGCATATACACATGCCTTCATACAAATAGGGAAGTTGCTCCACGATTCCAAAGCTGAGGAGCAGTTAAGCAAACACACATTTTCCAGGTAATTCCCAGCAGCCCAGAGCACAGGAACCGCACATCAGGGGGCTATGGTGAGCCAAAACTCACGGTACATACGTATACCCAACCAGCCTGGAAAGCCACCGCTGCAGCTTGCTTCAGCACCCCCACCTTCATGTCTGCCACAATGATAAAGAGAGGGAGGATGCAAAAAACTAAGCCAAGGACAAGGGGGAAAATCCTGCCCGCTGCTGGCAGAGGCCCCGCAGACCCCCGCTAGCCCCTGCGCGCTGCAGCGTGCCCTCCTCTACGGACACCACCTCCTGCTCGAACGCCACCTCCGAGGCTGTCTGCTGCCTCTCCTGGGCGCTTCCCACCCGGCAGCAATTCCCACAGCCCCACAACTCGGTCCGCAGCCCTCCCTCCCTGCCCTCAGCTCTGCCCCTCTGTCCTTTCCACAGGGCCATGGCGTTGCCACGCGGGGCTCAGCCCGCGGCACGCTGCAACATGCAGCACTGCACCACTATCCCTCAACTTGTCAGCCCGGGCGCAAATACCATGTGTGAGTGAGCCCAAACTGTGTTTGTTTTTCCACTGATTAAGAAGAGTCACGGTGTTCTTTCTAGCACAGCCCCGACCTTTCTGGAGAGTGGGGCTGGTTTGATGTATGCTTTCCCCCTGGACGCGAATAATAAAGCAGATGTAATTGGTAACATATTGTGGACCTAGCAGAGGGGTAATTTATAGCTTTATGGCTTTCGTTCCACGGTGTGCTTGAGCAATATCTCTTCATACAAAATGAAAAGGGGAAAAAAAAAAAAAAAGAAAAAAAGGATGGACGCAGGAAAAGGAGAGACGTCCTTCTCACCCGCTCCTCTGGAAATAACTCCAGGAGACCCAGTCGTCTCCCGAATTAAAGTTGCTGACGCAGAGCGCAGCAGCCGCAACCTTCTGAGCGCCGCCGTAAGAACCAGGAGAATCGTCACCATTGAGAGAGAGACTTTCAACTGGTGCAGACTGGCAGCGCTCCAGCCCGTATCAGCTGACGCTAGAAACAAGGTCAGCAGTCACTCAACAGCGTCCACGTCAGGCGACTGCCTGTGCCCTTTGGTGAATCGAGTTGTTGTGAGGCACCGGTTCCACATCGACAACAAGCCCCTCGCTGTCCCCGCAACAGCGGCCGCGCGGGGACGGGGACAGAGCGCGAGAGCCGGGCCCCCCGGGCGCCCCAAAACTTCACAGATGCTGGGGCTCATCGTAAAGATTTTTTTTTTCTTTTTCCCCCTGAAAAACAAAGGAAGTATGAAATCGCTTTCCCTCCATCCAAGGCCATTTCCTCACAGCTGATGTTTTAGGGGTGAACATCCTACGGAGAACAGTTCGGCTAGCTGTTCAGCATAGTCCCATCCCAAGGAATTACCCTGATTGACAGCTTGGTGATGGAAAAAGAAGGCTTCTGCAGCAAAGTCATTTTTCCTGCAAATTTGTCTGTGCGGCCTTCGTGAGAAAAAACGCAGCCCACATTTCCTGAGTTCCTTATCAAACTGCACTGTTCTTCTCGTTACGAGTTCTTTACTCCATCGCAACAGTAAATGTTCGAATAAATGCGAATAAAACTTGGAAGGTTTGTTAGAGGGATCAAATTCCAAACTGCAGCCTGTAATATGATTTACAGCCTGGGCCTTTTGGCCACGCTGAGGAAAGTGGCCAAGCAGAGACAGGGCTTGTCGAACACACGCTGGCCAAACGCAGCTGGGCTAAAGCCGGGCGCTGCCTTCGCGTGGGTGCAGCGCAAGGTCCTCCAGCGCCCACCAGCTCATCGAGTTGCAGCCGGGACCTGGGAACAACTAAGTAAATTGGAGCCCTGAAAAGTGCACGTTGGATTTTATAGCCCCTCTGTGCATGTCGAGTCTCCGGGCTGGGAGGAGAACGGAGGTTGGGTAAGATGCGTTAAATAAAATTGATAGTTCCTTTCTTTAATAATGAGTTTTAGTGTAGCCCTTTAAAGCTCTGGCACAATTGATAGTAACTGGGTTTAATGGAGCCTTCCCTGTCCTTGATATGACTTATGTAACTCCCCGTAGCACTCACAGGAGTTTGCAGAGTGCATGGAGGGGATGATGCTAAAACAAACCCCATGACTTTTGTTAAAAGACTCCAATGCTTTAGTCCGCGAGCTCCTCCCACTCCAGCTTTCCCTTCATAATGATTTAGCAGGTGCTGTTTACACTTCGGCTTGCCCTCCTCTGCGGGCATAACCCAAATCACATTGCCGCCTCACTAGTACTTCCAGCGAGTTTCAGAAAAGCAAATGAGAGCAAGAGCTCTATCCACCCACCTCACCCCAAAGGGCAAAAAAAAAACACTTTGGGGACTAAAGAAAGAACCGTTTGAAAGTCACTGACGCTTTCTTCTGCTTCACTCTAGGCACTTAATGCTGATTTATAAATGTGGCCTTTGTGGTGGCAGGAGACCAAGCCCTTGCCCTGTATGAAGCAGGCAGAGACCTTGTGCAGTACCTGCAGGGCTGCCAGCGCGCTGTAACCAGAGGCCGCTCGCTGACTGCTGAGGGAACGGCAGGGCCTGCTTGAAAAATCCTGCAGAAAGCACATGGCGTGTGTTCAGCATATAAATGATGCACACAAGACGCTCCTGAAATAAATATCTTCCACTTTTCCCCCGAGAGGCACCGGCTTGAAAACGCACCCGGGTTAAGAAGGAAACGAAAAGGGGATCTGCCAGCGGGATCTAATGTCTTTCACCTTCAAAACAGCCGCGTCTAAAGCACGGGGCTCTGCCTCAAGGTGGCCTCTTGGGTGGTCCCTTTTGAGGCATGGCCAGTACCACAATCCTTGAGGAACCTCCTTAAAATTGACGTCCCTGGAGACTACACAAATTCCTTCCCATGTGCTACTGAGCATTTGGAGACAGCCTCAAAGAAGAGTTCAGACCTCCACAGCCTCTGTCCTGTTCTTGGTCAGCAAAAGATGCCAAGGAAGTCTCCACTGCAGGTGAAAAACTCTTTGCTTTCCTGCTTTTCTTTTCCTGTCCCGCTAGTAAAACTGCCTCGTGCTAATCAGCAGCTCCCTGAAAGCTCAGGCAGCGCTAGGTGGGTCTAAAAGGACCTGCACAGTCTGCCATCCGCACGGCTCCGCGTCGGGTGTCGCAGGTTCCAGGCTACCGTGCCTGACACACATCCCAAAGTCAGAGGAAAAAGAAAGACTTGCAAATGTCTGGAGTATCCGTACACAAGCAAACCAACCCAAGGAACCCCGGGAATGCGTGTCATAGGGGAGCTGGACGGCTGGGGAATTCTGATCCAAATCACTTCTGCACCCCCCATTCCCCAGGCACAACTGCCCTCCTACACTTATTTCTCCTGCATTTAGAACACGAGCAGCATTCTGCTTACTGTCTCATACTGCACAGCTGAACTTGTAGGATACAAGCTAGCATCCGGGACTACTTTTACTGCTTTTGGGGATGGGGGGCACAGGCAGCTGCTCCCTATCATGGATCAAGCAAGTTATTTTGGCATGTTGCTCAGGAAACTGCGGATCCCCTCCTACCCCCAGCTTTCTCCCCATCTCCATTCTCCCAGATCCCGAAATCCAGGGCAGCTTGCCCGCTGGTTACTGCAACTTCCCTCAGACAAACAGGGAGAAGAGGATACAGCCAGGAAAATACCAGGGGGACCTTCCTTTGCGTGAGTCCCTCCTGCCACCCTCCCAGAGCCGCCAGCTCTCCCATGGGTGCAGGATGGGTATGGGTGCACAGTGCGTATGTAGCAGGCACTGTCTGAAATGTGGGGAGCTGGTGCACGCCCGTTTGCTCCCGCAGGACATGTCCATGTCCCGCTCCTGCAGGACACGTGGGAGCCCCGGCTCGGCGAGTCCCAGCACAGCGAGGCAGCAGCACCCAGGCCTGAGCCAAGGCCTGGAAACCTCCCGGCCTGGGGGCCACGCTCACCACGGCCGGCGGAGCAGCACGCAGTGCACCGGGAGCCGCATCCCGGCTGCGGGCAGTGGTTTAAATGAGCCTGCTGCACATCCGAAACACCAGGCCGTTGGGAATTGCTGAACACGAGCCACCGCCAACCACAGCTCTCCCTTTGAACCCTCTCCGCTGCCTTTTTACTCTGCTTTGCCTATGTAGACCAAAGTCAAGTCCCTGCAATATCAAGCACTTCCTTCAGTGCTCAAGTGACCACAATTTCACATCTTAGCCACTACAAAACCCCCCTCTTCCCTATCCACCCTAAGCCACAAAGCCCTAATGTCAGGTATCTTCTGTAATCTAGAAACATCACGATTCTTACTCATCCTTCTGATGTGGGTTCAGGTGCCCATAAGCCCCAGTGACAGGCTGTGGGTTCTTCTGAAATCCTCCTGCCTTTTTAGACACATAAAGCAAAATCTCGGGGACAAATATTACACTTAATTTGAAACACTTAGCTGCACCTTACTGAAGGATTCTTTCAGTGCCACCTCCATCTCTTTAATGAAATGCAGTAATGACAACAGATATTTTAGATTTCCTCAGTATTTCCTAGTTATTCACATTACAGTTGAAACATTTGAGAATACAGCTTAAAATATTCCTCATCGAAGGCTTGACTACCTATTTCCCTACTGATGCTGCAGTCACTGGGCTCCAAGTCCTGGTGTGAAAAGGCCCAGCAGTCAGGTATGTCCTCCCCTGAACTCTGGGGAGCCCTGAGCTATCAGATACTCAAAAACCAGCACAATTCAAACAGTGGAAAACTTCCTGCCTCCGCAACCCCTAAACAGCACTGTATGCAAAGCAAATGAGGGAAGCAAGTGAATAAATTTGATAGGTTACAACCTTGACAAAACAGAAGTAGACCCTGGTAAATAAACCCCCTTCAGCATATACCTGCCAAAGCTGACAGGAGGACTTCCACCTCTGTATAAATCATGAAATGAAGCTCCAAATGCTCCACCAAGACATCAAAGTGCTCTCCAGACAAATGCAAGAAACCTGGGAGACCACTGTGCCCGAGGCAGGTCTGAACAGCTTGAGAAAGAAGCTGAATAACCCTGCCACAAGCTCCTCACCAAGCAAACGTCCTCCTGAGCCGCACAGCGCAGCCTCCAGCTCCTGCGACGCCGTCTGGGAACCAAGGAGCAAAACACAGGTGAGGAACAGCAGGGACAGAGGTGGCAGTATCACCTGAAAGTCCTCAAGGTCCACTTGAGGGTCCAAAGAAATGTACTCGGGCTCTTCATGTAAGGATGTTTTAGAGAAGTGGGTGTCAATGAAGTCAGAAAGAAGTTTTACAACCAAACACGCAATCCTCCCAAGGGCCTCCGAGGAGAAGAAAGTCTGTTCCGGAGTCACAGATGGGACAAGCAAAAAGAACGGGGCCAACTCAGACGGGTGGCATTCACAGAGACCCTGTTTTGAGGGTTTATCTTTGGAAGACACCGAAGAATGTCTGAAAAAATGCGTTGCTGAAGAAATCCCTCTTTCAGTGTTCTCTCAGAAAGGCCGGGCAGAGCTCAGGAATGCACACTGTGCTCAGCTGGGGGCTGTGCTGCAGGTTGCTGGGAAAGCAATAAGCAGCAAAATATGCTTAAAGGGCAGGCCACGGCAGTAACACCCGCAGTACCGCTCAGAATGAAGCGCGACACTCCGAGACTTGTATAATCCGATGCTTAACCGAGCTCATGAAGTGCTGAGAACAGCCAGAGGAGACGTGGAAAGAAAGTTACCAAAGAATTTTTTGTGGCTTCCTCATCCTGAAGGCAAAATGGAAGCAGATGAATTCAAAAATATTTGTTAGGACCAATGTGCCAGGTAGGATTGCTGGGCAACAGCATTTGTATCCTGGACACCTTTCTCCCTCACATCGTATGTTCCCTTCCACAGAGGGAAAATGGAACAAATGGTAACCATGACATTTCTGCACAACCCAAAGTTTCCTTTGACAAAACAGCCTGAGCTGTAAATGTGAAATTGGACGGGCCTTGCCTTGGACACCAGTTTAGCACCCACGCATTAAAGGTGAACTAGAGAACTTCCTTACCTTCTGACCCATGTCCTACAGACTTCGCTAGCTGCCACGTCTGCCCCACAGAGTATCTCAGTTGCTGGCAGAGGGTGCTATGGGTCCTGGAACAGGGCTAAAATGAACCAGTCTTTCCTTCTGCTGCCCTGGCTGTGCCCCATCACCCACGGAGCACCGGCACTCTTGCGGCTTCCCTCAGCTACTCCCCAGTGGAAAGACGTTTCGGCTCGTTCCACCACTGCTGCCTCCCCAGGCGGATGACTTCCCACCTGTAAATATTAGCTCTGTAATGTCAGTGAGTGCAAGTCGCTCGCAAGTGCAGGGGAACGGCAGGGAACGGCGGGCACCTCACACCCCGCGCGCGCCAGAAGCAGCTCTGCTTGGGAAGGCAGGACATGGGCAGGGTCTACTGGAGTCTCAGGCTGCGCCTCTCACTCCCACAGGATTTTGTTCCAAGTGTTTCATTTGCAAAGAGGCCACTGCGTGACATTCACCGCTTGCTTTTTGTTTATGAAATATGAGGCTCAGATCGAGGACTAGCTGGGCTGAAAAGGTCAGTGTGCCTGCTTGCAAAGTCCCTCCCCTCACTTCATTTCCATCAGGGTACAGACCTATTGGAGAGAAGCACGTTTGCAGTGAGGTCTGCACGACATGCAGAGGATCTGGGCTGCAAACGAAGACGAAGATGCAAGGAGAAAGGTGGGGAAGCCGAGCACAGCGCTCTGCCAGTTCAGAGAACACAGACGGATTGGGCTGATGACCTCCCAGCTAATCCAAAGCCAAAGTTAACTACATTACGTAGCAGCTGCAGCCACATCTCCCCTTTAAATAAGAATGACCGAAGACGTGATTTATCACAGCCTCATATACCGAGGGCTACGGCGTCGTCTGGGAAGTTAAAAAAAGGGCACTGCAGGTTAATGCAGGTCCTGCATTCCCGTAGTTAAATGGAACTCTGTAAAAACCCTGTCCACACACAGGTGCGCACACCCATCCACACGGGGAAGGGCCCTTCATTCTAGAAGGAAACGCGTGTCTAGAGCACAGATCTTTCACCTGGCCTTCCAGCCTTCATCCCCCTCATTGCTCCGGGCCAAGAAAATTTCTTGGAAGTGAAAATGATGGCCAAGCAGACACTGCTGTTATCCATGGCTTTTGATTTGCATTCTCCTGTAAGACTGTAAAACTAAAAATGTCTGAAATGGAAAAGGCTGGAGCCTACAGTACTGCTCTGAACAAGTGCAAGGGCTGATCCAGATAGTGGAAATGATCTACCTAGCACCCAGCCCAGACTAAAGCCTGGTGGGAAGATGCAGAGTTTGGATGTGGAGTCCTCTCTCCTCAAAAATCCCAATTCTATCATCTCTTTGTTTCACAGGTAGCAGCTGAAAAGAGCAACCCTGTAGGAAGATACTACTTACTATATCTCTCATCCCTTCCTCAGAGTGTGCTAAGAGTTTGCACCAGACCAAAGTGACACCGATCCACAACACTCCCATGAGAACATTAGGTGCTAACCAGTGTATCCTTGGGAACCCTTGTAATTGCAACTGTTAAGGAACCTCAGTAGTTTATTTTGCATTATATGAGGCTATATTTATCTCTGTCACACAAAACACACGATCATGTTCAGAAACACATGCATGTATATGCATTTGCACAGCCACGGAATGACCCAGAGAGGCAACAACTTTCTTCTCTGGAAGAAAGGAGTGAAGCTGTTCAGCTACCCCACACAATCTTACCAAAGTGCTTCTGACACCTCCCTGCTTTGCTCTGCTTGCTCGATGGTACCATGCGGGTCTGGCATTACGTGCCTGGTCTCCCAGTGTCTCCACAGCAGCTCTCTTTTTCAGCAAGATCTAACAGAACAGGAGTCAGTTCAGTGTGCAGCAAACAAACCTGTCTGTCTGCAGAAGGACAGCCAAGGTGAGGCGGGAAGCCCTCGTGAACACGAAAAGAAAATCCGAGTTGGGCCGAAGGATAAACTGCATGTAGGATTTCTGAGCCTTGAAGAGCAAACAACCAGGAGCCCAGGAAAGGATAACTGCCTTGAGAAGCAAGCATCTAAGACCCTGGTGTGTGATGAAGCAGCTCAGGTACACCCGTAACTACCTACTCCCACTCAAAGCCCTAAAGGAGCAGAAAGCAGAAGAAAGGAAGTCATTAGGAGAAAGAAAACAATACAAATCTCTACCTGGATCTGCAGAACTCCCTGGCTACTGTCAGTCTCTGCTCTGGGTTTGTTTTTCTGCAAGATGTGATTATTTATTGACATATTTATTTACTCAGCTCTACAGTGCTTAATTCCTTGGCTACTAGGCTTCTCACATTGGCAAAACTAGACCATGACAGAAGAGGAACAAAGCATAAGCTGAAGGTCAAGTATGATACATAATAAATGCCATCTGCAGGGCAGCCTGAGGCAAGCTCCAGCTGTGATGGCCTAGGAAGGGGACCAAACTGCAAAGGCAGGGCTGTAGACTGAGCAATCCCCGCTATCAGACGGGGAGTACATGCTCTTGGACCAAGAAAGGGCAGACATCCTATTGCTTCCACACAATGTATGGTAAAAGACCAACTTTTGTGTAATTCTGCTCCAGATCATCCACGGGTGCATGATGGAGAGCTGAGCACGTGACTGTAACTCAAGCAATGTAAAACTGCATCTGCTCTTCACTGCCAGTTATTTCCATGCATTCATGAGTATGGCATAGCCAAACCTGTATAATCAAAAATCCTTACTGGAAAGGGTTAGAGATGACTGACTAGCTAAAGGTGTCGTCAGGCCTTCTCATCCATTCCCCTAAGTTTGTGAACTGACACATGGCTATGCACTTTCAGCAGAGATTGCACACACTTATCCCATCCCTTTCCACAAACATCATTTCAGCACTGCTACAAGTTCCTTTGCACACATGTCCTTTTCATCTCCGTCATCCAACTCCTTTTTTTTCATTAAGCAATGAAATTAAAGATTTAAAACTAGATGCAACAGAACAAATTGCTCAGTCATCCACCCACTGATAAGATTGCAGCCAAGTCATCCACAACCTCACTTACTAGTTTTAATTACCAATGAACAGGAATCCTCACAAAACTGAGTCCCAGGAAAAGAGTTTCTGGGAGAGGAACCTGTTCCTTTGCACAGCTTTTCTGACAAAAAGTAAATATACTGTTATTTCAACAAGATGCGGAGAGACATGTTAGAAACACCTTGTGGTCAACTGCAAGAGCTCTTGATAGGTCTTTGGTAATCTTGGACATCTTAGCTTTGTCTGGCATAAGAATGACTTGAGAGGAAAACTGCCTCTGGTGGGCCTGAGGTCATTGCTTAAGTTATTGTGGGAATCTTAGTAAGGGACAAGAAGGGAAATTTTCAAAAAAAAAAAAAAAAAGAAAAAGAAAAAAAAAGCTAAGACATTTTAGTAGTAAAAGTCCTGTGAACTTTTGTCAGGCCTTATGTACTTAAAACTTATGGACAGCTTTCCAAATCTTTCCCAAAACATATATTCATGTGGGTGAGGACTAGAAGTATAGAGGAAACTAGCTTCAGTAGAAGCTATACTATACTTACTATAGTATAGAGGAAACTAGCTTCAGTAGAACTACAGTAACTGGGGATAGAATTACAGTGGGAATATACACTATACACTATTGTACACTATATAAATATGCAATTCATTCTATGCTTGCAGTACTCCTTTGTGGACATAGACCTTGGTTTTGGTCATTTTTCACATCTGAAAATAGCCACACTTCCCTCTTTAGTCTTTCCTGGGCTCATGAGAGACTGAAATTAGTCACCAGAGGACCAGCTGAGTCATCCAGCCAAAGCTTGGATGCAAAGCTTGGATGCTTGGATCCACGGCTAAAACATGGATGACGGCAGCCTTCCTAGCAACCAGCCACGCGTTGAGCAGCAGGGGCTGGAGACCCGCGTCCCTCCTCTAGCCACCACTTTGCGCCAATCAGGGAAGGCCTTAAACGCAAAACGAGCACTCGCCGCTGGCTCTGCATCTGACAAAAAGCCCTTTTCTGTTCAGGTTCCCCATGCCGGTCATATTAGGGAAAAGGGAACTCCTGATCTTAGAAACGCCTTCTCCTTCATTGCACTGGCAATATCTAGCAGGTTTTTATACTTTTACAAGCCCAAGTCTCAATTCATTCAATTTCTTAAGAGTACCATCAAATTGTAACAAAACCTGTTTCAATACACAATCTCCCGGCAGACCAAATAACTATGACCTTTTAAGAGCACAGCTCTGTATTTCATTCTGATGTCTATTGTTTCCAGAACAAAAGGGAGCGGGGACAATTGCTTTTGTGCGCAGAAAATGTATTTATCTAACAGGCCTTTTTGTGGTGATTATAAAAGTTTGGCGAGTGAATTTCATGCTCGTGACAGCGGGTGACCACGTGTCACTCGGACACCGCAATCCCGCGTTCCAAACAAACCGCGCTGCCCCTGCCCCGCAGCACCGGCCCTTCGGAGCGCGCTGCCCATCGGCACGGGCCATCGGACGCGGCTCCGCTACACCCGGCCAGGCGCAAAGCGCCGGGGGGGCCTCAGTCCCACCAGGTCAGTCCTGATGTAAAGTTTCAAATGGACATGTTTATATCAGTGCCTGCAGCATCAGCCCCCCAGAACCCAGAACTTATCTCAATCTCTATTCACCTTTATGAAATTCTGGTAAAAACAGGAAAAAAAAAAATGTAGCTGAGTGACAAAAATTACCGAGGGTTCTGAAAACCCCTAGTATAAACTATTATGGAAATATTTACTTCACAGAGGAGACAAATAAAAGGGAGAAGATGTAGCTCTACAGCAAAATGAATAATAGGTAGATCTCCAGGGAACATCTGTTCTCCCTGTGTTGTCATGGAAGAATAACATTGACTTGGAAGGACTAGCGCGCGTCTCACGGCTGCTCGGGGAAACGCGTCTCCGCTCGAGACACGAGCGCCTGTGCAACTTTTTTTTCCCTCCGTCGTGGTGTCTCACCTGGAAAGCCGACTGACGCGAGCCCCTCGATCACACCCACCTCACCTGCCGTAGGGAACCGCGCTGGGTCGCACTGCCCAAATGAGTTTTTCATGGAACTGCTCTCAGCTATTGAAGTTGCTCTTGTTTTTAACCTCGGTGCTTTCCAGATCACGTCTGGTTTCAGCCAGGCTGCCGTGCATCGACTGTAGCGCACCAATAAGAAGATCCTAGATGCAACACAGTGCACCCCCTGGTTCCCCAATGCCCCCACCATCTTCTCTCCTCCTTTCTCCTTAAAGAAAAAAGAGCCCGCTAGTGGAAAACGGGCATCAAGGAGGGAAGGGCCCAACAAGTCAGTGTAACATCGAGCCCTTAGGGAAGACACATGCCAAGTGGTAGCAGGTCTACCTGGACAATAAGTCTGTTACAGGCTCAGCAGTAGAGACCCTGAGCTGATAAAATACAGTGGTGACATACCCTCAAACCATGCTGAGACCAAAGCTCCCAAACACTGCCAATGGGACCCTATGGGGAAACACAAACGAACCTGAAGCCCAGACCCTTTTAGTTTGTCTCTATCCGCAGTAAACCTCAAAGTGGATCCTGGTGGCACCTGTAGATCCCTACATGAACCCTCTCCCTTTCCGTTCTCCCTTCTCTAAGGAACCTGCTCTTCCCGGAAGACTTTTACAAACAAAAAGTCCAAGGAAGCATTCTGAGGTCCCTCCTGCCTCCCAAAGCCAGTGGCTCCCTTCTCCCACATGGGCCGTGGCACTCGCTCACAAGCCAAGAAGAGCTCGAGGGGCTGCACCGGTGCTGCCCATGAGCAGCGCAGCAAGCGCGGTGTGCGGCTCAGCACATGCGAGCTGCTTGTCAGACTGTGCAAGACGTGAATCATAGGGACTGCCGCAACAGCAACACAGCGTGTGCAGCCTCCAAAAAAAACAAACAAACAGAAAAAAATAAGAATACAACTAACAGACATCCCAAAATGCAGATTTAGGTAAACGACCATTCTCCTGAGGCTGTGTTTCAGCTACTGTAGTTATGCTGCAGGGCTTGCCTGAAAAATATGCACCCTCGAGACTTGTGACACTTCAGAAATGCTCCCGCATGGCTGCAGCGAGGAGCCAGTGGGAAAGCAGGAGTAGTTCCCGGGCTCTTCCCACGGGGAGCCTGGACAGCGACCAAGCAGATGCCTGGGATGCCCGGGAAGCTGAAGGCGAGAGACAGCGCTCGTCACGAGGGCTGCTCGTTGGTCACCCGGGGCCGTGGCCGCAGAGGGTGCTCGGCGTCTTTTGGAAGACCCATCTCCAAGTGCGTTTAGCTGGCTGCAGGCGCTGCCTTTCTCCTGCCCTTCCTGCCGCTGGGTTTGGGGGCAGACACTGAGGTGCCAGAAATGCCCCAGTGCACTGGAGCCGTTTGCACGTAGCTGGGCAGCCTTCGGAGCAGCTGTGAGACGACCTGCCCATCTGTGCGTGCCCACCACCAGGAGATACTGCTCTTCAAGGCACCCAACAACTCAGCCAGACGCTAACAACCCTACTATTCACTGCACATGCATTTCTTAATTGGATCCCTCTTCTAAGGTCAATGTCACAGTCCATCTTACAGTCCTGTTTCCCCCCAGGCTTTGCAGCAATGCGTCTGTGTCACTTCCTAAGCCGCAGCCTTTCCAACGCTCACAGACAGCCCTCACTTTCTCACCAGCCACTGCAAGACTGCGACCCAAACCCCAGTGATTCAGCCTGATAAAACCGAAGGGGAAAGGTGTGAGGCTAGTTTGTTTGCTTTTCCTGGAAGATTCAGGCCAGAGATTTCAGCTTTTCCAGGTCAGGACAATGTCTGCATTCGAAAATATTCTATAAATTCTTCATTTAACTGTTCCCCTAGGGCAGTCGGCTAGACCCTCACGCTCCAAGCACGTGGGCCTGTGTCTGAGTCTAAGCACACAAATAGTCTAAACTGACTTCAGCGGGACAACTCACGCATTTAAAGCTAACCACATGTGCAAGCGTTACCAGGAGCTGGGCATTAGTCATCTTCCCCTGTTTTCTGCAGGGTTTTTGTGAAGAAAAAAAATATTAATAAAAAGCAAAACCCCCACAACACTTGTAGATACCGTTGGGGTAATAGAGCCATACTCAAATCTAAATTAAACCCCTCTCTCCCACTCTCCCTTTTTATAAAGCCAAGTAATTTTCTAAGTTGTTTGGTGCACCAAAGCTGTTAATCGATTTAACAAAAAAATGTTGCGGAAGGTAAAGTCTAGAGAACAGATGCTGCATCTGCAAGTTACACATTCTCAGGACTCACATGAGTTCTGAGCAGGCTTTCTCACCCCCAATTTTCCTACATACTTTTCCTTCCTTTTTCCCCCCCCCTTTTCAGCTTTTGGCAGAGCCCTTTTGCCCCCACCATATTCTCTACCTGCAGTTAAAAATCTTCTTTGTGACCCAGTGCCTTCGCTGGGGCCAACTGTGGTGACACAGATCGAGTACTGTGTGTGCCTTCAGCCAGCGCGCGAGCAGCAGATATTGTTTGGATGCAAACAGCCTTCGCAGTTATAGTAAAAAAAATGAAGTGCAAATAAATATATGAAAGCGTTTTCTCTAAGCAAATCTTTCACAGTCACGGCTAAGCATTAAAAGGTCTTTTATTTTGTTTCTGCTCTTTTAAGAAATGGGGATCTTTACACTTTTGAAACAAACAATTCCTATCCCCCCCCTTTTTTTTTAATTTTGCTTTTAATACCTTTCTGCCTCATCATTGCCCCAGAATAAGCAAACATCATTGCTGTGTAAAGAAACAACTCACAGGAAATAATGTACTGCATGTTTCCATACGCTTCATAAATCCACAGGCAGCTTGCAAATGCTGCTTGGGTTCCTGTATGAGGGTTGTTGGTTTTCATATAAGTCACGTATTAATACCTTTTGAAAAATACTTAACCCCATTCAATCACATTCCCTTCCACCTTTACACCAAAAACCAGAGGTTATAATTACACCCAAGGGCAGGAATAAATTAAAACAAGTGCTGGTGCCACCTTGCTGTACTCTTTTTCTGAAAGCAAAAAAAGTGAAGCCGCTCGGCTAGGCCTTGTGTGCACCGGCCTAACTCGGAATGAGCCCCACTAGCAAGCCAAGGAGTAGATTTTCATGCAAGATTTTCACAGGTCAGAAACTGGATAACGCACAGACTAAATCCTAGCATGAAACATAAAACAGGTCTTTGGAGAGGGCTATATCTTCACTATTTCCCCTTCAGGCCCCCTCCAGGCACCCTAGGTTGGAGCATCTCTTCATGATCATCTACTCCATCCACCCCACCTTCATCCCCAGGATTTGATGCAGCTGAGAAGGCCTGAGAGGTCTCACCCTAACTTTTTCTGTCATCAACAAGTTTGGGGTGAAAAGGAGTCCCTCAGTAGAACAACAACCCGACAGCTGCTGAATCAACACTACAAAAGAAAATGATATTCTGGTATATCAGTGCTCTTTTTGTACCACCATGCTGTACTGCCAACGGCTGCACAGACATCAAGCAGAAGCTCTGAAGGGTTAAGGAGGTTTCGTGTGCTACAGCTCCACACTTTCTCTAAATACACAAGCCTGTGTGAAGTTCCTTATATGCCGAGGAACTGCCAGGAGCCTCGGAAAAAATGGAGCACAGGACTTGTTATCCCATGAGTAAATGGGCCTCTTTTCCACCAGCAGGCTACCATTCATTTGTAAGTGATATTAAATGATCTTTAAGTTACACACTTAAAACTGTCAGGGCAAAAGGGTGCCTCCTTTTGGATGAGTTAATAGCAGGGAATGTGAAAGGGATTTGCTGTTAAAAGAAAAATAAAAAAGTGCAGGAGAGAAAGAGGAACTGTGCTTGCATACGCAACAGAAACACAGCTGCCTCGTGCTCATTCCACTCTAATAACAACCCATTGCTGGCAGACCCATGTCCATCTTAACAAACTCTTGTGAAAATCCACGTGCAGAAGAAGGGGAAATATTGATAGGGCTTCATTTATCAGCTTCTCAGGAGACGCCACAAATAATAAACAGACTTCTCTCCAAAGTATCCTAATGGTATGCTATCTTAAAAAAAAAAAAAAACTTAAATACTTTTTCTGAATATAAACTTGCAATGTACAGTCAAAATTAAAAAGAAATATAAGGTATTTTTAAGAAAAGCTCCATGGGGAAAAACAACTGTGAAATAGCCAAACATCAGTTATGAAAACCACATCAAGAGGAGGCTCTTTGTGCATGAGTTTTAGGGTTTGGGGATTTGAAGAAAACGTACATCCTGGTTTGACTCATAATGTAGGCAGAGAATGAGCAAGTTTCCTTGACTTGTACGGCTCAGTGATCGTGCTCCCATGCCGAGTTGTAACCCTTTGAAGCCAGGGTATCTATACAACCCCCCTGCCCCATCTAGCAACTCCTGGCTCATGGCAACCTTTGCTCTTCCACTCCCACCTCCTCCACAGCATTAAACTGACCTGCTTATTCCCATCCCAGGTTAGTGCAG